ATAAAAGTAATACTAAATACACAGGTCTGAAAAATATAATTATTTTTTAGTTATAGCTAAATCAATCAACGTTATGTTAAAGCTAGACCTAAAGGTGATACCCCTTATTAAGAGGTTAGGCGACTAAATAAACAAAAATCACGTTACGGGATATGGCTAAGGTCACAGTTTTTTACACTTTCTAAACAACAACTTCTATATAAAAATAGAATATAAGAATTTGTAGCTACCATAGATGATACCCATAGACAGGACAAAGTCACCTTAATGAACATGGAGGACTCCCGGTAAGCACATATTTTGCTAGCTATATATAAATAACTAGCTGACCCGCGCAACTTCGTCTGCGTCTCTCAATAGTAATAAATTTTCTCCGTGTTTGAAACATTCTTCATTGGTGCTCCGCTCCTATTGATCTTAGCGTGATGATATATAGCCTATAGCCTTCCTCGATAAATGGGCTATCTAACACTGAAAGAATTTTTCAAATCGGACCAGTAGTTCCTGAGATTAGCGCGTTCAAACAAACAAACAAACTCTTCAGCTTTAGTATAGATAATATTAGTATAGATTCGATCGATAATCATCGACGTAATTACATGCATATATTTATATTACTTTTTTTACTTTCATAACATTTAGAGCATCACCATTCCCTAGAATACATACATATCGAAATAAACATTTCATGTTATTATTAGTTCATGATATTATTTCAATTATCTTGAAAGCATATTCTACAAGCATATTCTACACATTGCCCTCGACATCGTCTGTTAATAATAAGTTGTGGAATTGTGATTTAAGCCCAGACGAGTGCATGTCAGACCAACGTTAGCAGCTTATTTTTGCAGCTGTCGTGGATATATAAAAAATGTTTACTGCGCGCACAGCGTTGTTTACCCAAACTCTAAATCTTGAAAATAGGCGCTGACAATGCATTATAGCGTTTATAAGTTACTGTCAAATATATAAGTAGTAAGAAAAAATCTATAGTTACTTTTAATTACTGGTAAGAAATAGAAAGTATAAAAATAGTTAATCTTCCATTGTGCATAGTGTGGAACAAGTCTACCTACCTTCGCAATGAGTTTTACATTTTTGAGTATCCTTAATACAGTTACTTTTTTGGTGCCAGTGTGCTTGAAAGTTCACCAACTACGTTTTCTGTTTTTTTTTTTGCAAGAGTACGTGGTCCAAGAAATCCTTTGTACCAGAATAAGTACTAGTGAGTCATTGGAATTATCCTGATAGATCAATATCCGGGCATTAATTCACGAGAACTGTGAATGATAGTTGTTTTATTTATTTTTCCTTTTTTGACGGGCCTGTTGGTCTAGTGGTTAGTGACCCTGACTGCTAAGCCGGAGGTCGTGGGTTCGATTCCCACCCAGGACAAATATTGTGTGATGAGCACGGTCATTTGTTCTGTGTCTGGGTGTAATTTATCTATAATATGTATGTATTTAAAAATATATAAGTATGTTTATCAGCGGTCTGGTTACCATAGTACAGGCTCTGCCTAGTTTGGGATCAGACGGCCGTGTGTGAGATGTGTGAGATATATAATTATATTATTTATTATTATTATTGTTCTACGATATTTTCATTTCTTAATGGAATATTTGAAATTGAACGAAAGTGCGACGTAGGTGTAGCGTTAATACTAAATTATATTCAGCAATTTACAGTTTTGAAATATGTAAAAAAATGTTGCAAATAAACATGATTTTAGTTCAAGTTTTTAGTTTGAAAAATACTTTATAGTGAAGTTTAACGTTTGCAACTAAATTATTTTAAAGTTCTTTACTATTTTAATATTGGCGATTCATCTATGTACAAAAGTTAGAAAATATTATTATGGATTTTTATAACTAATTTAAAAAAAAGTTTAAAGATGTTGTAATAGCAAAAAATTAAAAAACAATAAAACATAATTTAAAAACTAATATTATAAATGCTAATGAGTCTACCCGTTACTTAACCGCTGAACCGATTTAAATGAAATTTGCGACAGAGATAGTTCAAGTCCCGGATAAAGGACATAGGATAGTTTTTCTCCCTGAAATTTTAATCGTCCTTTAAGGGGTTGAAAATTTGGGTGGAAGTTTGTACGGGGAATTAATAACCGCTGAACCGATTTAAATGAAATTTGGTATGGAGATAGTTTGATTTTTGAGGAATTACTTAAGCTACTTTTACCGCGATAACCGACATACACGCGGCGGAGCTTCGGGCAAAAGCTAGTAACAAATAATTTACTCGATTATAATATGAATAGTTTCTTTAACATATCATTTATCTGTGGTAACTTTTTGCCGTGACAGCTCGAACGACCTACCTTTAAATGAAAGGGTTCTAAGAACTTGTAGATTTTAAGGCTAGTAGATGACGAAACTAAATCGCTAATAAACCGAGTATCGAATTATTCTCATTTACTTTTAGTAACATTGTAGTGGATAGCCATCCAATGTAAATTTGCGAGCGAGTGTGCTCGGGTGAACGATCGCAATAGAACCGGTCTGACAGGCAACGCAGGCAAAAAGGATCTTCCCGGGAATGTGCTTTGCAGCGTCTCGCTGGTACCGAGCACTGCGCCCTGAGAGCACACCGCACAGAGGGCCTAGTGTAAGTTCATTTCACATCAACTCGCTCTCGACGGCAAGCGCGTCCAGAGTTGCGATTGGTGAAGAGTTTAGTGCGGGCCAATCGCAACGCCGAACGAGATCACCGTAACGATCGAGTTGAAATTAAAGAAACTCACACTGGGCACTCTATTCCCTGATTTTCTGCAACATTTTCTACTCCCATATACATATTTCCGATTAATACACAGATTTACTTACTGTTCTATACGACAAAGGTAGTCGTCTGTCGCCATCGTGCGTCATAAAGTTAGGTTACAAAGTAGGTACTTTAAGCACATTCCATTAATAGCTGTACTTATGTGTATATGTAACGAACTTATATTAGAGTCCACATTTTAGATAGGCCCGGGTTCACTAGAATATCTGAAGTGCTCGATTTATTGCCTACTAATGAAGAATTTATTTATTTTATACTTCATTACTATCGTTTTCGGGTGCACAGAGAAAAAAATAAACGGTATATAATGATTGTGACACAATTTAAACTGTCAGTAGTTTATGTTCCATTTGCCAGTTGCTTGACAGGCCATTTAATGCGCTTTAAAAAAATAAACAGATTGTCTATTTTCATTTGATGATATTATTGTTGATTCGTATATATTTAGTATTTCTCTACAAATTAATTTTAATTTTTTGGCACGGAATAAAAAATTACGTGCTGTTAACCTGTTTCTACTAAATATTCAAAAACTGATATCAAGTATTTCTAAATCAGTATAAAGAGCTCATATTTATGAATTTGTAACTAATCATATTTGCAATAAATAATTTAAAATGATCGAAATCCGTTTAAACTTGACTAATAAGGAAATGAAAGATGTCAAACTAAATTCGTCATTCCATCAATTTTTATTACAAGTTTATTAGGTACTTACTTGTAGCTAAAATTTTAAACGAATTGTTTTATTTGATTACACTACTATTCCGATAAATAACGACGACCACGCCTATAAATGAGGATAATTTATTTTAAATCTTTGTTGCGACAAAGTTTTATTTCTCTGCTAAACATTAGAGTAGGTAATTGAGATTACATCGAAATAAGTCAATGTAATATTCAGTAAATTGCACTAAATGTTCCGCTAGCGTTATCAAACCGAAATGAAATTTAATTTCCTGTAACCTCTAACCGTATCACCACTTCTTTGTAAACCACTTTTTCTCTCTAGAAGTGTAGGGGGGGGGGGGAGGGAGTTACTGAAGCTTATTTCCGTATGCTCAATGTTTTACACACGCAATTCACAGAAATATTCTGAAAAGCCACAGCTTAGTACGGTGCAATCGCTTCTGTAATGGTCAAATAGGACTAAAAGTGACAATTGATGATCGAACTGTGAGTTTACCACACGTCTACAGACTTTTATAACTGTTTGTATGGCAGCTATCCGTACCTATGTGTTCTTGGTCACGTAGTTTGAAAACTAAATCAAAATTCCCAACAAGTTGTTAGACTCGACTGGTTACGAGATGTTTGATTATAATTTGCTAATGGTGTTACAAAAACGGGAGTCAATTATATCTCCATCGAATACAAATTGCGATGTAATTCAATTCTATTCATGAATATGTCTAATGACATTGGTCGGAGTCGTTCTATTTACTATAGAACTGTATAATGTATATTAGTTTAGAAAAAAAGTGTCTATGTTTACGCAACATAATCTAGATCCATAGATATGCTTCATTTCTAGATAACGCTATGTTGTAAGTCCAAGAGTATTATAATTTATTACAAATACTTACACTGGCGCTAATAGTACATATGATAATAAAGCAATTTCATATTTCATGCTAAATGAAACTTCCATCAAAGTCACTCAGTAAGTCTATAAATAACAATGTTCACTTGCGATTTCTTTGTTTCTAAAAGCCTTTTCTTAGTTTTCTCACCTTTTAGTTTTTCTACTGTTACTCTTTAGCTCTGATTAAAAATCCCCACGAAGATTCTTACCGTCTTTTCATTAAACACAAATGTATAACGTAAGAAGTTTATTATTAGTCACAATTTTTTATTGTTTTTCGCATATAATGCTATTTCCACAGTATTCTAATATCCCGTTTCTGACAGATGTTAATCCGTGATAAAAATAACTAACACTAGAAGTAGTGTTTTGAAATCTAGGGAAAGAGTGAACGGGGACACCGGACAAAAAATTTAATGTGACTTCATTAACATTCTGTTGGAACCCTCGGGATAAGGTTAACCCTAAACATAAATGCTGCTTACGTTCCGGGGCCAATTTATCGGACTTTACGTATATTTACATTTTTATTGTTTGTTTGTTGTTAAATAGTCTGCTTTTTAAAATATGACAAATAAAATAGGATTTTGTTTTTTGTATTTTGTTGCAGGGAACAATGGAAAAGAGAAAGAAAATTCTCGAAACAAGGAAGCCACGTCGCCAGCTGCTCGCTCCGCCAACGGTTTGTATTATCTTCAATGTTATAATAATATATTTAATGTAACACACTTTCAGACTGCGCATACTCTCATTCACAACGCGCATTTCATAGTTACCATGGTGATAATCGCGTATTAAAGCTTGAATGAGTGCTTAATAATCGAGCTTCCAATCGAGAGGGAGGGAGCACCCCGGGTTTGCGTCGCAAGGGGTCAGGGGAGAGACGGTACGCACATGCTGCGTCCCCGGGGGCTGCGGCGCGGACCGCGCAGTCGCAGCCGCCACCCTCGTGCACCCCGCGCTCGCACTCCGCTCATACCCCGCCAACCTCCGCCCGCACCTCGCTCCCCGCTTTGCAGGGGCGACGAGCCAGGACACCCCATTTTACAACATTTTTGCGGAAATTGGAATCCTCTATAGATCTTTGAATTGATCATATTCGCGTGTATACATACATAATTGGTTATAAAACTACAAACTGCATACAGATGGGTAGCTATTTAATAAGTTTATATTTATAGTCAGAATAACGTAAACTACAATGAGTCATAAGATGATAGTATTAATAATGAATAGTTAGATTATATTTATGTTCGAATAACAGCTCGTCCAATCAATAATAATAACCGTCGCTCGCCTCGGTACGAGACAAAACAATGAACTTGATATAAGTTAGTTTACATTACATAGTGCTAACATAACGCAGGCGCATTATAGTTTACATAAGTTGGTATATATTTCAATAATTATTCTGTCCATTACAAAGACATCCTAATGCATACGCCCGCTGATAATTGTTAAACGTTGAAACAATGTCAAAATGTCATTAGACGTGACATATCAATGGTACGAGCTACCAGATAAAAGGACATCCGTTTTTCGTGCTTGCCTACAGCTATTACGTTTTCAAAATACCATAATGGTAGATAATGCGACATATATACATATAATGCGACACGTAGCCTGAAACATATTTAATGGACAACATATTTAACAATGGACGTAGGCTACTTGTCGAAGCACTTTCAGATGTATAAATTTTGCCAATCATAAAAAAGTACTAACGTAAATATTATAAAAGACTTCACTAAATACAAACTCAAAAATAAAGAATACCGAACAAAGGACTTGTCATGGTAACTTCACTGTGTTGCCTCGTGCCTTTTCGCTTCGTAAAATCAATGTTTTGGAGTCCAAATATTTGTCATAGTCAGAAGTAGATATGTACTTATTTGTTGCTATAATTTCTTTTAAAGTTCTATGCTGATGTCATGTCCAAAATGGCAACATTTCTACTGGGGACAAACGATTAGTTAATTGGTTAGAATCTTCACATCCATTACAGCTGATTCGTCTGAGTCAAGCGTCGGGGTATTTGATAAATTGGTGTTTGGACGCACTACCTTTATCAGTCAGTAAGATAACATTGTTTTAGTAAACGATTTTCTGTAACTAAACATACTTTGTTTTGTATATTTTAGTTTTAGTTTGTATTAATAGGCATAACTCAACATGACTCACCACCATGTGTCATTGGTATTAGTTGTCACTGCTGCCAAGTGCTGGTGTTAGTATGAAATATTATTGATTTGGATATATAATCGAGTTTTGGTTAAAAAGTCTTTTTAGTATTCTCAACGTGTGATTCGTCATATCGTAGTTAAATGTAAAGTTCAGTTTTAACTTAGCAAACTTCTTTGCGAAATCTCCTCTAAAAGACACTACCAAGAGCCGCGAGCCGCCAGCGTTAGTGCAGCCATCGGCCATGTAACAAGCACTCAAGCACTCTCATTAACTGACCTTTCAAACGATCCCACTTTGTTTCCTTAGCGGCATGAATACACCTTTTCCTTCAGTTACTGTAGAGTTTTCACTTTGTAATGTGGCTATAAATTAAAAACTGAGGCGTCGTTTACTCGCTTCAAAAATGCTAATTGATTTCTGAGCGTCGTAATAACTTAATTTAGTAGAGCGCGCAGGCTCTTCTGGTGTCATAGTTACTGGCGAGTTTAATGAACTCATACAGAACATTATATACGTTACGTTTGTCTATATTTAATAATTCGAATGTCGGCTAACCGCAAAAAGCTTTGGTTAAAGTTTTTATTTCATCTTACATTTGTTAGTTGACTATGGTCTCTAATGATATATCACACCAGGTTTTTGAATGAAACAGTAGCGAGCGAACTGTACAAACTCTAGAGGCTGTTTGGATTCAGTGACAAAAATGGAAATCATCATTTTTGTTTCAAAAAATCTAAGTAGAAGTGTCTACCCTTGTTAATATCATAACTCACTTCATTAAAAGTTACTGATTGATTATTACAATAAGATTCTTAAAAATTAACGATTAAAAGGACTTTGACAATTATTGTTCCTTTTTGTTTGCGTTTTGTAATCTATGAAAACCTGTAGATAAGTAAACTATATTCATACGTATATATACAGCTAAGGTCTCTATTCCGCAACGCAATAATAATAATGAACCTTAGGTATACTTTTAAATGGCTAAAGTATTTAAAAAAAAGAGCGCATAGAAAAATCAGTGTTAGCAAAAACAAAAATAAGGAGGTTATTAAACAAAGAATATATTGCAACTTTATTATTCACACTTTTCCCAATAGAAGTTGGATAACTCAGTTCCGCTTCGAAACACAGATTGGCATAGATTAACGGACGAAAGTAACATAGCGGCTTTAATAATGCACTCATACTTATAATACCTTTATAATAACCATAAAATTTGTTTTATTAGTAGGTAAACATTATGGTACTATGATTTTTTATCTGATATGTATCCAGGGTATCTGTATTATGAACATTTCCTGTACTGTTATTTGTCCTTTGTTGAAAAATAAATATGGTAACGACCTTTTTTAAATATTATAGCAGTGTTAGTTATGAATCTGGAGTTTGAATTAGGTGTTCTTTGTGACAGATTACATGATCATTGAAACTGTAGCTCTGTATTTAAAATCCCACAAAAGGATAGGTAATGATGACAATTGTTTAATCGAAAATGTATACGCAATGAACATTTAGAACTGGCAGAAAAAAATAATTACGATGAAATACCAATAATAAACATATAAAAATGCTAGCCACAATGTTAATGTTATATTCATTTTCGCATATCGTCAAGAGCTTTGAATTTTTAAAATAGTCTGAAATACAGATTGGTATTCAGTTCACAAACACATTCGTCTAAATTTAAACACGAATAAGATATTTAATATATTTGCTTATAAAAGTAAAATATGAACAACATGATTGTCATTTATTACTTAACTAATCATATAAGTGCATTTACAGGACAAATTATGCGTTCGGCATCAACAAAAATCATTCATCAGCAATTCATTCATCAATCACCTAACTACTTGCCTATTTAATAACAAGTTATAACTATGTATCGCATTTTTTTTTTTGTTTTTTTTAAATCCATACATTTCAGTATGTTACATTTAAATTAAATAGGTAGTTAGGCAAAGTATGTCAACCCGCGACCTCGGATGATCCACTAGTCAGACGAGTCTGATTTTCGGAGAAAGTGTAGAGTAGGTAGTTTGCTCACAGATGTAGTATAGGTACTTACCTACCACACTGACCTGCATGTCATTCCGAACAATTTTAATGCTCTTGCTTAAAATCATTACTCATTTAATCTCTGCATAGTTGTTAATACATTTTTATAAAACTCCAATTAGTTTTGCATTTCGCACTAACGGTAAATTTATAATATCGTTGCCACGATACGTTTCGTTGATAATTAGTGCACTCGAGATGTTGGCTAGCACTACATTAAAATTGCTTATGGTTCGAAAGCGTCTCCGCTAGTGCATACCTACAATGGTTATCTACCAACGATATACCTACTCAATAAGCTATTTATGGACTGAAAATAATATGCTATTTATTTGCTTTAAACACTGAACGCAAGTGATAACAGGTCAAGACACCACTTATCGTAAGGTCTACGATCGGAACTAGGAAGAAACATGCGCGATATTACTGCAAATAAATCGTGGTCACAGTGTTTTGTAGAAAAAAATGTTTTTGAATTAATTAGTGTCATATTAATAGACAATAATGTAACGCGTAAGTGCGACGGCGCAGCTTGAGTGATCATTTTGCTGAAACAATGGCCGGCGTTGCGGCAATCGCGGTCACTGCGGCAAAACTGACTCACTACGTTACCTCTAGGGTTATCACAACTAGACAATGGGATATATATCTATCGATATCTAGACAATATACCTCTGCCGAAAAATAAATGTCTGTTACTTGCTACAGAAAATATATATACGATTTATAAACACGCGTGAATTACAACACAATACAGTAATTTGATTTGAAATATTTATTAATTATTTATCTAAAATAATGCCTAACTTTTATTTACTGACTTGAATTGATGGTTGCTTCCGTGCTGTGACTACTGGTGCTGTATCAAGAATCGACCTTAAGTTAAAATAGTTTGTTACGTGAGAAAGGTTGACTGTGAGATTACTTTTATCTTTTCAATAAAATTGTATCATATACTCGTATTATATTATACATATTTAGTTCACACATATGTGTCTTGTTTTTTATCTATACTAATATTATAAAGCTGAAGAGTTTGTTTGTTTGTTTGTTTGTTTGAACGCGCTAATCTCAGGAACTACTGGTCCGATTTGAAAAATTCTTTCAGTGTTAGATAGCCCATTTATCGAGGAAGGCTATAGGCTATATATCATCACGCTAAGACCAATAGGAGCGGAGTACCAATGAAGAATGTTTCAAAAACGGAGAAAATGTATTACTATTGAGAGACGCAGACGAAGTTGCGCGGGTCAGCTAGTAGAATTATAAAATAACAAGATTGATTCTCGGTGCATTTATCAAGTTTAACGTGGCTAACAGTTACGGGGTTAACAGTCAATAAAGAAGCGGTGTAGCTAACCCGTTCTAATCGGAATAAGCGCGTAAAAATCCAGTAGAGATGTAGCGCAAGTTGAATGCGGGAGGCTGTGAAGCTGCGATCAATACTTGAGTCGCCGCCGCCGCTGTCGCGCCGCCGCAGGCCGCGCGTCTACGAAAGCGAACGCACCGACCTCGCTGCCCTTCACCGAAGTGTCGACGACCCCAGGATCCGCGCACCTCCCGGCAGTTCACGGATCCCCCGACCCCCGCAACAGCCCTTTACACTTCTCCACCTCGATCTTCGTGACCCGATTAGGGAAAACTGTCACCTCACCTTCAGGCCGAAGGAACTTTAACTCTAAATTTCACATGAAATACAGGCCGCTTTTTTAAAAGCTTCACTTTCTAAGATTTTTTTGAATCTTTTATATAGGGTCAAGTGGGGTAAATGCGAGTACCACAACTAGATTGACACATTCCGCTTTATGTCATTTTGTGGTCTTTTACAATTTACAAATAATTTTTACTGTGAATATTAATCATGTTTAAGGCTTTTGTTTGAAGTAATTACTAACATAAATTTAACGATGACTACATGTTAATAATTAAATTTATTTACTCTGACGCAACTATCGCATTTGCCCCGTGTAAAGGGGTAAATGTAAAAATGACATTTAAATTCCTAATAGTGTGGATAGTTACTGATCTGGGGTAATAGCAATAAAATACGCAAATTGAAATATACTTTGGTTTTTATTTCAACGAGATCGGTGAAAATCTTACAGAGATATGAACTTTTTCTTACAAACTTATTTTTAATTCTGAGATCAATCAATATCAATACTATCAAATTAGTTAGGATATAATCATATTTCTAAATTTGTAATCAAAATATATTATGCCGCGCTTGGTTATTTCAGGATTAGGTAATATTTTGACGATACAATCAGCAGTAACCTCATCAGTATCTTCTATTAAAGGCCATGCAAAGGTTGCGCCCTTACGTCGTACAAATTTTACCTCCCAACGACTGCCTACTTTTTTTTGCACAACACCCACGTAATACTTAAGTCCCTTTTTTAAGGCATATTTTACAATTACCCATTTTTTAATATCAATACTTTGCGATTTTGCTTCTTCCGCCACATTTTCTTTATCTTCTTCCCCAGTTGGGCTATCAATTTCAGAGATACTTTTTTCGTTATTACTTTCCTGATTAGACTCGTTTTCTTCTTCCATCCACATACTTTCATCTGAATTTGCATATGTTACTTCGTCTTCCAAACCTGCATCAGTACTACTACTATCACTATCTAAACACTTGATCTTTTTCTTGCGCTTTTCATTCGTTTTTATTTTTTTATTATCTTCGATCGTTATTTCATTTTCTGAACCTGCATCAGTTATACTACTTTCGTCAAAATTTCGAGTCACTTTCTTCCCCTTTCCTTTCTTGCTTGGTTTTCTATTCAATCCTGTTTGTTTTTTGTTTGTTTTAATAGTTTCTTTGTTTCTTAACTCGGTAAGCATTTCAGCAGACGTAATTACTTCTGCACCTGAGGCAACTTTTCGTTTTCTTTGTTTATTTGGCGGATGTTTTTGCTGAATGGTTGCAAGAATCATCTGTTCTAATGATGTTACTGTTAGATTTTGGACTTCAGAAGTTAATTTCTCTTTAGCATCTAATGGTGGTGATGTAAAATCTGGTTGGTTTTCCAAGTTGGTAGTTATAGGAGTGACCTCTTCAAAACCTGATGAACTTAAAATTGATGGGGACGGGGCATTGACATTATGTTCTGCATATTCAACATCTTCTACAAATGCTATATTATCCTGAGCAGTATCTTGAGTTTCTTTTTGGTGTTTTTCCCAGCGCTCTAAAGACTCTTTTGAAAAATTTCCCTTAGGGATAACGTCAGAATTAAATGGGTATATCCCTGATTTACTAAAACCACTCATGATGACATCTTCACTAACTATGAGCCAAGTTTCTCCTAAAAATTGTGAGAACAGCGATTTAGGAAGCCTTTGTCCAATGTTCTGTCGCTGCCAAGAGGCTACAGTTTGGTCCCATTTCTGTTTAAAGCTTTTGAAAACAGATACGTCTAATGGCTGCAACAAGTCACTTGTGTGTGCAGGCAATTTGATAATGGTTATCTCCTTGGCCAATGCAAGTTCAACTAGTTTGAGAGAAACATGCGTGGAGTGACCATCATATATGACCAAAACGGGTCGTTCAGGACCCAAAGCAGGTATAAGGACTTTCTCAAAATAGTTTGTGAATATTTCTGTTTCCATCCAACCATTTGGAGAGGCCGCATATGCAGTACCGGGATATTCTTTCTCGGGTGGTGCCCTCCATTGATCCCATATGTTTTTGGCTTTAAATATGATTAGAGGCGGCGCTCGTTTACCAGCAGCATTAGCAGCCAATACAAATGTTGTATTTTCTCGTCCAGAGGTACTTATAACTCTGGACGAGCTTTCGCCTTTTTCGCCGACAACTCGGGAATTTGTTGGATCTAGACTTAAACTGCTTTCGTCTAAATTCCAGATCTGTTGAGGTTTGCTTTCTATGTTTAGCTCAACCAAAGTTTTTTTCAAAAGACTGAAATACCCATAAATGATGAATGGGTCTGTGGCGGCCTTTTTTCTAGCATATTCCAACTGTTCTGGCTTTCGAATTGATAAATTATGTCGTCTTTTGAAACCGAGGAACCAATCTTCCCCTGGTATGTCATCTTTAAACGGTGTTTTAATTTTATTGACTCTAACGAATTGACCAACTAAGTCTAAAATTTCTTTGCGACTAAGACCAAAGCCCCATTTAGCAAGCGTTTTTATAGAAGTGGCCAAAACATTTTCAACATGTTCTGAAAGTGCCGTTCTGCGGCCTTTAGTTTTTTTAATTGCACCTCGTGTTCCTTTCACTCGGGAATATAATGTCGCAAATGGAATACCGTAAATAACAGAAGCTTTGTGAGTAGTGAGTACACCAGACATTATATCATTAAGAGCAATGTTTAGTTTTTCGTCGGTATATTTGGGTCCTGTATCCTTATTTTTAATATAATTTCGCACCATCTGGAACAAAAAATTACATTTACCCCGAGGTATGTTTATACATTTGCCCCAAGATCTTAATTCTACGGGGCAAATGTAATAGCGGCAATATCAGCATAAATTGCATCAAATGTGCTCAAATACTTATTCGAATAATAAATTTACACTAAATATTCACATTTAAATACAAAAAAATAAAGAACTTACGTTTTGTCAGAAGATGACTCTGGATTAAAATTTAGGATAGCAATTTGTATAACACGCGGCACGCACGTCACTTGAAAAATGAAATGTCATTCTTACATCTGTGAATCCAACAGATTAAAAAAGTTGTTGGAGTGTAGTGCAAGAAGTACTTTACGCGTATAAGAGATGGCAGCACTAGTTTCTTTTGTGTGTAAACAGTTTAAGTTATGGTATCACATTTGCCCCGTTCATGCATTTACCCCACCTGACCCTACTTAGAAAATTTTAGATATAGTATTAGTAGTAATTCAAATCTAAAATTTATTCTAGATTAAAAAAATATGTCCAAAGATTCCTGCATTTCCTTATATTTGTCATCTGTATGACAAACAAACAAACGGTCTTTCCGGTAGGCCAATTCTTTAATCGTAACTTCCGCACGTATCTAGATAGCCATATATACTTCGTATATCCGGTGTCACGGGAAATTTTGAAAAAACCAGATCGATGCCCACTTAGTTAATATTCTGTTGGCATCAGCTGCGTTCTCGAACGAATCTTGACTAGGTCTGATTTTTTCGTGTTTAAAAGTTACGTACACTATCTAGTTAGATCAACAAACAGCCACACTGCAAGTGAAGCATCTTTGCGGGGAGTCTAGCCAATGAACTTGACTTGAATAGACCTCCACTGCACACTGAACTATAAATAAAGTCACGATTCGCTGAGGACAATGTTAAAATATATCGAGTGATAATTTACGTATTTTCATACACATAATAGCGTTAGTTCATGGATAAATATTTATTGAAAGATATTTTGAAAAGACAAATACGTATCATAATTTTTGATTAAACAATGACTGGGAATTGAAATGGGGACTGGAATGGGAACTTTCATATATTTAAATATTAAAACAGTAATGGTAGGTACCATACAAAAGTAGTATAATGTTGCAAAGAATGTTGTAGAAATGTAGATTCTTGTTACAGTAGTAAAGCAACGGAGTCGAATGTCGGGTGCGGCATCTCACGTGCCCACAGTCCACGACTATTTTAGGCCGCGAGCATGGCATTTGGGACGCGTGCTGGAAACTACCTATTTATCTCGGTTTATTTTGGTTTGCCCTACTAACGGCTTCAGCGCGTACTTTGAAATATCATAATTTCTTGTAGGTGGAGTTTTAAACGTTAGACTATTCTTTTTTTTCCTTATGTACATACGATGATTTCAAACGAATTATTGGGATCTTAATGAAACAATTTACGGTCTCATGAGCTTCAAATTAATTCAAGTCTATCCAGAGCGACCAAGTAAAAAGTGCAACTAATTAGGTTTAACTGAACACGCCTGCGCAAGTACTTACCAACGAATATAAAGTTAACGTTATTCGCAGGGTCGGCATACAGACAGTGTAACGGTAAATCAATATTAGGTGTAAATGTACTTCAAATTGTTTTATGCCGCCGCATCAAGCCTGACTACAGTTTTCGCTGATGAAATCAAACTTACAGAAATTAGCGTTAGACTGTTCATATAGCTTCATAGTAAAACTGATAATATTGCCTTCCTATATCTACATATAGGAAGGCAATATTATGTCTACACATAAACTAATTAAATACCTTTAAAATGCTTGGTAAGCTTTAAAGTTATGGTTACAACTTTTCAAAATTAATAAGTTTCTCGTTACTTATATATTTAAAAAACAATTTCTTCGGTTACATAAATGTGTGATTTTTGCATTATCCAAATTTTTTAAGTCTAGCAGTTTTGATTACACACATGGCAAGCTTTGTTAAGATTATTTTAGTTTTAACTGCTGTTTTAAATGCTCAATGCGTTAAGACGAAAACAGGAAGGACACAGCGACGCACATCACTAGCGCTTCGGCAGCTCTCGTACCCGATACGCTGTTATCGACCGGCTTGCCGAGACACCGACAGAGTCAGGGTGCTCGTACACTTGACATTCGCGTCCCCCTTTTCCGAAAGGTTTACGACCCTAAATGTTGACTGTAATGTTCTTGTACCAAAACCTATTTCTGTTTGCTTTGTTAGGTACCGTATTTATTCATAATTTATTTGCAAATACTACGTGGCATCAAATAAAATTGGTGTGTAAATATTTACGTGGCACATTGTCCCAATACATAAAAATATTCAAAATCAGGCAAATATATATTATAAAAATTATTAATATCAGTCAGTCGGCGGAAGCCAGTTATCTCGTGGAGCGGTGTACAAACAACTAGTGTGGTGAAAAACATCTCTCAGTATTTGTTTAATGTAATGGTAGATACAGCATACCGAGTTACCGACATAATAATACTACTATGACTTACAAAAATGATCGACGTTTCTAACCAGTCACAGTACAAACAAATACTTGCGGACACCTCGTGTTAGCTATTTCGACATCGCCACAAGTTGTAATTCTGATTAAAACCTTCTTTGGAATTTAAAGTTAGTTTTCTATCAATATTTGTATAATAGTTATAGTTGTGTCCAAAACTGCTTAGATATATTAAGAAACATAATTATTATATATGTTGTGGTGTCAACATCTCGACTTTAGTCGGTTATATAAATACTCCATCCCGTAACCTACGGGAAAAAGGATATCTATGTCCACATAATTTCAAAATTGATAAAGTTAGATATGAATGGTGCGAATGAATCAAGATATTGTAATTATTTTTTTATTTGTAGTTTAATTGTATGAGAGGAACCTAACTAGTGTGTCTGTCGTGCGGTGCGCGTTATTGGCGGCCCTTCTTCTTCCTCGTTCTCGACCTCTTCCCTTTCCTCAGACCCGTCGTATGCTTAATGTCTGTAGTGTGTCCAGTGTATGTTATGTTGAGTGGGTCTGGTGTGTCTGGTGATTGCGTTATGTTTGGTCGATTGTTGCGAGCCCTGTGGTTGTGGGTCCTGTGACTGATGCATGTTTTGCGATTCCTGTGCATTTTGTGTTAGTCCTGTGTGTTGTGTATGAATACCGTATCTCCCAAAACTTTACTGAGTATGGTCACTGTTCGAATGGCTGCTTGTTTTTGAAGGATGGTTATGTCGTTGTGGGCTTCTAATTTATCTATGTATTTCTTTATGCTTTTAGCAACTATTCCAGTTGCGCCTATAACTATCGGAATGACAGTCGTTTGTATATTCCACAGGCGGGTGAGTGACTTCAGTTTTCAACAGGTGGTATTTGCTAAATCTCCTTAGCGCCCATATTGTAATCGCATGTTACATACGGTGATGTCTATTAAATATGTTTTGTTGCTAGTTTTGTCGATATATATAGGTCTATTGTGCGTTACAGTGATATGTTTGTACGGACATTTCCCAAAGAATTTTAGGGGATTAATTTTCTTTAACTTGTTATTGTATGAGTGTTTCTTTCCACCAAAGGTCAGAGATTTCTATTTTGTGTTTTTGGGCCAGACACCAGTAGACGTATAAGATAAGGTTATGTCGTTAAACAGGCACATATGCGACATTTTCCGTCTACTGATTCTGATTCGTTATAGTATATCGTATACCACATATTTTAGTATATCGCGCTGATACTGTCCGGTCATGATGGCCTGGTCTTGTATGGCAAATATTGATGATTCTAATTTGGGAGATATGTGTTGAGAAACATTATATAATATTATGTATTATATCATTGAATATTATTTAAAAGGCATACTAATGTGTATAGGACGCGGACGTGGAAACACATAATGAACAACATACCTATCGAAACCTGTAGTATGATGAAAAAATATATTGTAAAACTATACTATTTAACCGCACTGCACGGATGGCGTAGTGGTTTAAGAGGTCGCTACGCCGCTTCCTACTACGCTGAGTGTTGTTGGTTCGATCCCCACATGGGACGACACTTTGTGTAATGCACATTTGTTGTTCTGAGTCTGGGTGTTCTTTTTGTCGGTTTCATGTATGTTTATAAAGAACTATTTACTGTCTAGCTGATACTCAACTACATAGGTATATATGTAATATAATTGTAAACGAGATATGTCTGGTATACCACGGATTAACTTTATGCATGTGTATGAATTTTATAATGTACAATTTAAAAAAAAAAACAAAGTAAAACAATTATTTTTGTTGACAGGAGAGGAGCATCCTGGACAGAAGCAACGTAAAGGATTTTTCAGAAGTCTCTGGAAAAAATCTCGACATTACTCCCTAGAGCACCCTTGAACAAATCCATTCACTTTCAACTAAAGGTTTATTGAGATAGGTACCAACTTGATTTTCTCGCTCTACACTATAAAAATAAAATGTAGCGTAGGCCATACATAGCGGGATAATGAACTGTAATGATTGATTTCATACGAATGTATTTAAAAAATGTTTTAGCAAGTTACATTATATTTCGTCTTGTTCAATTACATTATGTTAATAAAGTTAATGTATTTACATACACAAAGTAGATGCATAATTCGAGAATCCGATGTGTCGAGTTTCGAATGTAAAATTCTTAGATATAAGGTGTGCTGGCTTTTATGGACCTAGAATATTATAATACTTCTAATGCAAAGCGGTAATAACCACTGTGTACTGTCTAATTGAAGTGTTTATTCACGCATTATTTATTTATAAGATCGTTATGTGCGTATTTTATTCATACACAAATTGGATCATATACCTATATACCACATATTTGATTAAGATACACAAATACTTTTGGTATAGAGTTGTAGAAATGTAGATAACCACATTAGAAACTAAGATCTGATGAGTTTTTATTTGTTTGATATTGTTGTATGCTCTTAGCAATTAAAATTGATATGTAAACCACCAGACAAAAGTAAGGATATA